TCCAGAACCTTTTCCAGGGTCACAGAGCTGCAAGGCGGCCCGGCTGTGCCTGGGCTGGGCTCCCCTCCATCACCCCTTATCCAGCCTTGTCCGACGGACTCCACCCACCATGCCCGCCAGGCTTCGTGTCTCTTATGTTGGCCATTAGAAGGAGCGGTGCTGAAACTTTGGGGCCAGGGTCTCCCATTCACCCGCCGGGGGACCTCACTGGCATTCTGAGCTAGGCAGTCTTGGCCGGTGCACCATGCCTTTGCCTCTTCAGTATGCCGCCCTTGGAGTGGCCTCGTGAACCGACCGCACTGTGGTGTGTCTAGGCCCTCACCCACATAGAGGTCGGTGGCTGCTAAGGGCTCAGGAGGGGAGGGAGCGAATAATGGGATGAACAGTAGCGAATCTTCGGTAGGAGACTGTAATGGAGGGGTGGCCCGGGGCTGTCCAATCACAAGAGTGCACCCTAATATAAATGATGGACCTTAATCATAATGTACCAACACTGGCTCACCACGGCCACAAAGGCACGATTCTGCAAAGGCATGGGTTACTAGGGAGACCGTGAGCTGGGTGTGTGGGGACTCTGTCCGACCTGCTCCGGCTTTCTATGGACCTAGAATGCGCTCTAGAAACAGCCTATCATTTAAAGCAAAAGCCCTCTGGGGGCCAAGTAGATCTGAATTTCTGGGCGCAGTCAATGTTTTCCAAAGCTCCCCAGATGGCTGTAATGGGGGTCCCGCTTTCCCAGGGGGCGCCAAGCCCTGGCCTCATGCCCGCCCCCTGAAAAAGTCTTTGCGACGGAGCAGGTGGCGATCCTTCGCCCCTCCTGGGTGGTGAGGAGGAGGAGGAGGTGTAAGGGACACCATGAGCTGGTGGCTGGCAGAACTGAACTGCACCCCCTCTCCCAAGTCCTCAAGTGGAAGACTCAGTGCCAGCCAGTGGGTGTCCAGCGATGTGGACAGGACACAGCAGGGCCTGGGCGGCAGCCTCTTGCCAGACCACTTCTTCCCTAACCTCTTGCGCTGCCTGCCTGCCCCAGGGTCCTCACCCTCAGCCGCTCCTGGGAACCCAGCTTGGGCCAGTCATGGGGCAACATTGCCTGGGGGGACCGCTGCCGCGCAAGGGCCTCAGCACAGGTGGGCTCTGTGTGTTGTGGATTCTCAGAAGCTTGTAAACAAAACGGCATTTCTCTTTGTTCTCCATCATGATAGTCTATCAAGCCTTCCCTCCCGCCCAGGAAGATGCGCTGCCATTTGAGGTGATGCTGACCCACAGTGACTTGGAGGACAGAGCTTCCCTGCCCGTCACAGTGTCCAAAGCTGCCATCGTCACCAAGGCAGGCTGTCCCCCGTCCTTCAGACTGCATCGGGCGGGTCCACTCCTCCATGCTGCTCTGGAACCTCTCTTCCCAGTCAGTCTGAGGACTGTAAGAGTGCTTTCGTTGTGACCGCTGCGCAAGTTCAAGTCTGCAGCCAAGGGACACCAGCGCCTTCCTCTGTGCAGCTGTTGCTCAAAGTGGTCCAAACAGGATTGGGCCCGAAGCGTAATGCCGTTTGCAGGCTGCAATTTCTCCGTCGGGTGATGCAGTCAGAGGAACCCGCAGGAAACAGAAGGCGCCTGGCTTGGGGACGGAGTGCTTGTCAGCCTATACTTACTGCGTCATCTAACACATGTTTTTCTGGAAACGGCTCCATTAATTATTTCCACAACCAAGAACAATAAACGTCTCCGAGCAGGAGGCAGCATACAAGTGCAGGCAGAATTTCATTAATCACAGCGTGGCCGCGTGCTGCCAATGCGTCGGTTCATTGATCGCATTACCGATGGACTATTTCCAGCGCGTATCTGTTCGTTTATAAAATTTTAACATCACCATCACAGATTTTTTTTCCCCAGCGGTCATATTTTCGATGGTGTGATTAAAAACTAAATTAAAAAAAAGGGTTAGCATTGCGATGGCTTTCCCCCTCGGAGTTTCCCAGAAGCCTTGATCTCAAAATCGAGTGACTGTCTCCTGCATCTTGGGGGTCGCAGGAGACGGAACGAGGCACTGGGTTTACGGAGGAAGGACGTGCCGGGGTTCTCAGTGGAGCAGATCC